TGTGGATTTTCTGTGTCGAGTGGCGGACACTAGGCCTAAATCTGTACTTACTACTATGTCCGCTGCAATTGCATGTCTATATAATGCGTGGATCTACGTAACACAGATTTACGTGTTCTCAATACTGCGCTGGTTAAGTCGGGAACTTCAGAACCTGGAAAAACGAATTAATGTTCTGCCAACCATTTTATTCGTTGTTCAACTCCTGGCCGGAGGATAGTGTGTTCACCGTGAATTAGTTAAGACTAAGGGCGATAACTCTTATGGCCTTGGTACTTATGACAAGGCGTTCCGACCTAGCACCAAGAGGTGTGAAGTTTAATGCCGACACATTACAACCCGAAAACTTAATTTTATTTAAAGACCAGGTGTCATTCAATAACGACGGGTCCATGACTGTAACGTTGTTTGGTGTCATGAACGATTACGACCGTACAGGTTTTGAAGTCCGGATACCTGTTTCGAGTAATCCTAAACTCGACCCCGTCAATGCTCTCAAAGTGTACTTAAACCGGACTGATGTTTTTCGTGATGTTATTGACAATTCACATTTATTCACATCTTTGGTTCGTCCATACCGTGCTATACAGGCAGAATACGTGACTTCTGTGTTAACTGACGCTATATGTCTAGCGGGCTTATCGGGGCGCGGATACACCGCTAAATGTTTCCGACCCACAGGTGCTACTGCTGTGGTTCAGGCCGGTACCAAGCCCGAAACAGCCATGCAGATCGCTGGAAAACGTTATGTTTATCCGTTAGCCCAACAATCATAATCTGATGATGTGCTTGCTTTCAGAGGCGTATCCGGGAACGATACGTAGGCGTGTTTAGTTGTGGATGAACTAGTTTTATTGTGTCGCCTACGACGGATGTCGGAAAGTCACATAGGCGTTGCTTTTCCGACGGCGGCGGCGTCAACAATGTTAAGGTTTTGCGTTTAGCTCTGTTTGTGACAAAGCTACACCAACAAAAACTCGATCATAGATGAAGCATGGGTAGTGGAGCCTACTTCACTAAAAACATTTCATTGATTTCTGCATCAATTATTGATTTCTGCATTTTTTGGGTAAAAACCTCAAATTTCTGGACTTCTGTTTTGCGTTTAGCTCTTACATATTAGGCTGTTTCTGACAAAGTATAAATGCTAGAGCAACCAAACTTGGGTCATAGGTGTATCATGGGATGTATAGCTGAATGCATTACACTCTTTACTAGCATTTCAACGATTTCTGTATTTTTGGGCTAGAAACCTCAAACTTCTGGACTTCTATTTTGCGTTTAGCTCTTACATATTAGGCTGTTTCTGACAAAGCAGAAATGCTAGAGCAACCAAACTTGGGTCATAGGTGTATCATGGGATGTTTAGCTGAATGCATTACACTCTTTCCTAGCATTTCAACGATTTCTGTATTTTTGGGCTAGAAACCTCAAACTTCTGGACTTAGCAAAAAACTCAACGTTAAGGTTTTGCGTTTAGCTGTTGCATATTAGGCTCTTTCTGACAAAGTATAAGAGCTACACCAACCAAACCTCAATCATACATGTATCATGGGTAGTAGAGCCTACTACTCTAAAACCATTTCATGGATTTCTGCACTTTTTCGGATAAAAACCTGAAATTTCTGGACTTTAAAAAAAAATCAATGTTATGATTTTGCGTTTAGGTCCGTTTCCTTATGTACTATGTCAAATGCTTATTATATTGACAAAGCGGGGCAGGCGACACATATGATTACGCGTAATTCTTGTGTTGTATTAAAACTACAATTAATACCAGTTTGTTATCCAATTTCATATATGCCATCCATATATATACCTAAAGTTCTTGTTTGTTTGTATTTAGTTTTTGCTCTTGTATACATGTACACTTATATGCTCTTTACTCTCTCTATTTATGCATTAATGAATAAAAAGTTCATTAATCATTTCACTTTTTCATTGTATTTTGTTGTGACGTAGATTTATCAAAGTAAACTTTTCTATACCGTTACATCTGCTTCTCTATAGCGAACGTATGTACATTGTATACAGGGAACCTGTCCATACCGAAACTCTTACATCAACACTATTTGATGACTATCGTGACACCTACCTCCCGGAACAGTTCTATACGCGTTGAAGTAGTCTGCAACAAGTCTCTGTGTTGTATAGTCGTGACAGTATAACAGTCTGTACGAATCAGGAACATATCCGCACACAATAGTATGCAGAGTAATCCGCAAACATTTGTCATCTTAGTATGTTTAACACCTGGTTAATTATTTCCTTCTACGCGTTGATACTAAATATGAATCACTTATCAAATGCATCCTCAAGGAAAGACTACACATTTAATGATGTTCATACTACATCATATGTTTAAGTCAAACTAGGATATTAAAGATAGCTATGTTGATAAGCAGAACTTAGCTGGTTTACATAATCTCACACGTGGATCAGTTCCAGACACGAGCGTGAGGTAAGAATATTACATTGATATATATATATATACATATTAATGTAATGTTACATCACGCTTTTACTTATATCGTTTAGACGAGGTCGTACTTAGAAATTCCCTACGTGTTACTAGGTCGGACTCAGGAATTCCCTACGTGTTGCTAGGTCGGACTCGGTAATTCCCTACGTGTTGCTAGGTCGTACTCGGGAATTCCCTACGTGTTGCTAGGTCGTACTCGGGAATTCCCCTACGTGTTGCTAGGTCGTACTCGGGAATTCCCTACGTGTTACTAGGTCGGACTCGGGAATTCCCTACGTGTTGCCAGGTCATACTTAGGAACTCCCTACGTGTTACTAGGTCATACATAGGAATTCCCTACGTGTTGTTAGGTCATACTAAGAAATTCCCTACATGTTGCTAGGTCATACTTAGGAATTCCCTACGTGTTGCTAGGTCGTACTCGGGAATTCCCCTACGTGTTGCTAGGTCGTACTCGGGAATTCCCTACGTGTTACTAGGTCATACATAGGAATTCCCTACGTGTTGTTAGGACATACTAAGAAATTCCCTACATGTTGCTAGGTCATACTTAGGAATTCCCTACGTATTGCTAGGTCATACTCAGAAATTCCCTTCATGTTGCTAGGTCATACTTAGGAATTCCCTACGTGTTGCCAGGTCATACTTAGGAACTCCCTACGTGTTACTAGGTCATACTTAGGAATTCCCTACGTGTTGCTAGGTCATACTTAGGAATTCCCTACGTGTTGCTAGGACATACTTAGGAATTCCCTACGTGTTGCCAGGTCATACTTAGGAAATCCCTACGTGTTACTAGGTCATACTTAGGAATTCCCTACGTGTTGCTAGGTCGTACTCGGGAATTCCCCTACGTGTTGCTAGGTCGTACTCGGGAATTCCCTACGTGTTGCTAGGACATACTTAGGAATTCCCTACGTGTTGCCAGGTCATACTTAGGAGCTCCCTACGTGTTGCTAGGTCATACTGAGGAATGCCCTACATGGTACTAGGTCATACTTAGGAATTCCCTACATGTTACTAGGTCATACTTAGGAATACCCTACGTGTTGCTAGGTCATACTGAGGAATGCCCTACATGGTACTAGGTCATACTTAGGAATTCCCTACGTGTTGCTAGGACATACTTAGGAATTCCCTACATGTTACTAGGTCATACTTAGGAATTCCCTACGTATTGCTACGTCATACTTAGAAATTCCCTTCATGTTGCTAGGTCATACTTAGGAATTCCCTACGAGTTGCTAGGTCATACTTAGGAATTACCTACATGTTGCTAGGTCATACTAAGGAATTCCCTACATGTTGCTAGGTCATACTTAGGAATTCCCTACGTGTTACTAGGATGTGCTCAGGATAAAATGTAAACTTTATTTATTTTACAACAATTATGAAACAAGTTATTTCAACTTATATTAATCACTCTTGTTGGCCCGAATATTTGCGCGTGGGGGGTCTTTGTGAGAGGAAACCGGAGTACCCAGAGGAAACCGACGTGGTCGGGCAGGTGACCCCAATCTTTTCACGTCCGGTCGGGGAATCGAACCCTGGCCGCCTTGGTCAAAGGCAAGTGCGCTCTCCACTTCACCTTCCGACCACCAGGTCACATGTGCTCAGGAATTTTCTACGTGTTATTAGGTCGTACACAGGAATTCTCTACGTTTTACGAGGTCGTGCTTATGAACTTCATTCTTGTTACGAAACAACCAGAGACACTGGACAGTTTAAGTACTATATTAATCACCTTGCACTTATTCAGGAATTCCCCAATTGTTATGGAACGACCTAGAGACTCGGACAGTTAACTAACTCACAAGATGTAAACTTGTATCTGTAATTTGCTATCTTACTAGTAATTACTGATCTCGTAATGATAGCAGTACAACGTGATTATTTTGATCAAAAGGCCATCTTACCTTAATACGATCAAAGGTCGAACGTGAGTGTCACCTAAACTTCGTAAGTAGAAGGATTGGATTATCAGTCTTTAAGTCCGCTCACACAATTAGGGTTTCACTTGATTTCCTTTCCTGTTATTACATTGTCCATCAAACATTTTCGATTGCTTATGCTTTTTTCCCCCTCATTATTATCATTAAGTCGTTTCCAAACAAAGTTGGGGGTACGTTCTGTTATTCTTACTCAGGTATTTCCTACGTATTTCGAGGTCGTCCTCGTAAGTATGTGAATAATTCCTATATTGAAAGCATTATATTCCTATATTGAAAGCATGTGTATTCCTATATTGAAAGTTTATGTTTTCCTATATAAAGCAGCATCACGAGTTTTTCTTTGGATAGAGTGTTTAACTAATGCAGAAAAGAATAGAAATATTCCTCATTTTGATATGTATCACTTTGGATATTACTAAAGTAACATATCAATGTCGACGTCTTTGGCAGTATTGGTGATAAATGAGGTGGACAATGACCAGGTTACACCGTACAATGTCCTTTTCAGTGCGCAGTAATACAACTTTGTTTCATGGTAAATAGAGTAAAAAACACGTTTTCTTCGCCAAAACATTTTTATTTTACCTTAAATCTTTTATTTAGCATCAATTACAAACATATGACAAATAACTTCGGCTGTGTGTTTGCCACGAGGAAATATTACACAGCCGGTTGTTACTCACGCTTGTAGATTGACTAATGAATAGCAGTAAAGGTCAAACTGAGAAGTGTTAAAGGAGGATATTTAGGTTCTACAGGAAATATACCAATATAGCAGAAGGTAACGTTAACAATACAACAACATCAGTCACTATTCACTATTTTGTCTTCTAGAATACATTTTGGAGGTTATTTTATTGTCTGAATTCAGAGAATGTCTGATGCACAACTAATGACAATTTGTAATTTCTAATAACTTTTGTCGTTCAGTGTAACATTGAAATCGACAAAATCAACATACTGATGTACATAAAGCGATGACGTAACAACAAACAATGCTGCGTCACCCTTCGTAGCTATTTGACGTCATATAAAATGGTTATTTTTTTTCTAGTAAATATATCGATGACTGACATCATTGTCATATAACAAAGGTACTATATAAAACTACCAATCGTAGCAAATGAGCTTATGACTTAAATATTCTAACTGATTCTCATGAATAGCCATCCACTTTAAGCACATGTGTAATCCGTCGTATGCTGTATTTCACAGTACCGTGATATTCGGAATAGGTATATTTCAGTAGAGGAATCAAACGTTCTTCCATCTTTATATCGGGTCGTCTGATGGAAAGTTGTATAAGAAATCTTCACAGGTAGATTTAGTGTCCTCAGTCTGTGAAGGGCAGTTGTACATTATATTTAACATTGCTTTATATCGGGTCGTCTGGTGGAAAGTTGTATGGGTAATCTACACAGGTAGGTTTAGCGCTGGCAGTATGTGACGGGGAGTTGTACATTATATTTAACACTGCTTTATATCGGGTCGTCTGGTGGAAAGTTGTATGGGTAATCTTCACAGGTAGGTTTAGCGCTGGCAGTATGTGACGGGCAGTTGTACATTATATTTAGCACTGCTTTATCACCCCGGCTCATGTACCGTGTCCTTCCAATCTTATCTAGGTATTTATCCCTGTTGTCGGAACCTTTAGGGATGATCGTATATTCACCATTCAAACTAAATGCCTGCAACAACAAGAAATGACAGAATGTAGCAGAAGATGGAAGCAGCATTTATGACATAAAATATTTGTTTTACCAAAAAGGACCCGCAACAAATTGCTTCCAAGAGCAAAATAAGGACATGTTGGTAAGATACACGACCTGTGTAGCGGAGCGCACAAACATTACAACCACACGTCACCTCCATAGGACAGGAACGTGAACACAACTACGGTTATGACGATGGTCCGAATCTCAATAAAGATGAGTACAACCTATGAGCCGAGCCTTGCTGCTGACCATTACGAGTCAGCAGCAGCAAAGAATAATATCTCTAAAAAAAACAATTTACTTTCAAAAATAATAATTTGTCATTTTTTAATCAAAGTTTATAAAGCGCTATCAAACCATACCCAACGACCACTGGGCTAGAACCAACAAGGTTAACCTGCCTGTGTGCACGCGGCGATCACTGAACACAAACATTTGCTACATTAACAAATACCTGATCGGAGGCTTCATTTTCACAAAGATGACGTTCCTGAAGATTTGTTTTAATTTATTTTTCCCTACATGGAAGTATTAATGATATTAAGGAATAATTCACTATTAATAGTCCTGAGGTTTCTCTTTAACATCTAACATGCTCCGTCTTTTTTTCCACTAGAGGTACATTGATGAAACTGGAGTCAAAAATGGGTTAAATATAGCTCAGCTAAAACAATAAAACAGCAAACCAAAATAATCTTAAGACTACCTTCCTGCTAATTGGAAATCAATTATATAATTTATTCTGAGATATAATTCAAAATAAAGCTACATTCATTGCATTCATGCGAAGAGGATAAGGCAGGTTTCGGATTTTTTTCTTTAAAGTAGAATAAAAATAGTGATTTAACTGACGACCTAAATTTTGTTAATTGTTACTCAAATTAAGTGTTACTTTCCTTGTTTAACTTACCTTGTTACTGTAATGCATGATACTCGTATAATCGTACGGGACTCCCCTAGTGTTTACTGTTCGGCGGCCAAAACGATTAAAATTGCCTCTGTTCCGTGGAATCACATTTTCGATCTTGATGTCGACGAACGCATTCCTATCCGGTCTTGATTGTTCGTGAAATAATCCCAGCGCGTGCAACAACTCATGTACAGCAATGCGCGGCTACAACATTTAAATATACAATTTCACATAAGGAAAAGATTGGATGCAAAATTTAAAGTAAAAGGTGTTAAAGTAGTTGATTTTCAAGGATGTACGATATAAGACATGACTTATATTGTTCCTATTCTAGTGATGACGTGGTATTTATTGTTCTTGTGTACAGACTAGGTAGAGTATATTGTAGAGAGTTTTGTATATTTTCTTTCATAAAATATTTGTTCGGGGACTTTGGTACTGCGACCACCTAATCGTCAACACATATGACTTAAACACACCGCGGCTTTCATTCAAAAGGACAAAATAGCCAAAATGTTAACACGCAAGGACAAAGTACCAAAACGTTAATACCCAATGACAAAATAATCAAAACTTTAATACACAATGACAAAATAACCAAAACGTTTAAACACAAGGACAAAATAAACCTAACATTAATACACAATGACAAAATAATCATAACATTAATACACAACCAAATAATCAAATTGTTAATACACAATGACAAAATAATCATAACATTAATACAGTATGACAAAATAATCAAATTGTTAATACACAAGGACAAAATAATCAATTTTTTAATACACAATGACAAAATAATCATAACGTTTATACACAATGGCAAAATAATCAAAACCTTAACACACAATGACAAAATGATCATCACCTTCATTCACATGGACAAAATAATCAAAACGTTCATACAGATTGGCAAAATAATCACAATGACAAAATAAGCAAAACGTAAAGAATAATCGAAACGTTAACATATAAGAATAAAATAACCAAAACGTTAATACACAAAGACAAAATGAAAAAAAAAAGATATACTACGACAAAATAACCAAAGCGTTCCTACACAAGGACAAAATAATTGTAACTTTAATGCACGAGGACAGAATAATTGTAACTTTAATACACAAGGACAGAAGAATTGTAACTTTAATACACAAGGACATAATAATTGTGACGTTAATACACAAGGACAGAAAAAGTGTAGCGTTAATACACAAAGACAGAATAAGGGTAACGTTAATACACGAGGACATGTAACTTTAATACACAAGGCCATAATAATTGTAACGGTAATACACAAAGACACAATAATTGTAACTTTAATACGCAAGGACAGAATAATTGTAATTTTAATACACAGGGACATAATAATTGTGACGTTAATACACAAAGACAGAATAAGTGTAACGTTAATACACAAAGACAGAATAGTTGTAATTTTAATACACAAGGACATAATAATTGTAACGTTTATACACAAGGACATAATAATTGTAACGTTAATACACAAGGACAGAATAATTGTAACGTTAATACACAAAGACAGAATAATTGTAACGTTAATACACAAGGACAGAATAATTGTAACGTTAATACACAAAGACAGAATAAGTGTAACGTTAATACACAAAGACAGAATAATTGTAACGTTAATACACAAGGACATAATAATTGTAACGTTAATACACAAGGACAGAATAATTGTAACTTTAATACACAAGGACAGAATAAGTGTAACGTTAATACACGAAGACAGAATAAGTGTAACGTTAAAACACAAAGACAGAATAATTGTAATTTCAATACACAAGGACAGAATAGTTGTAACGTTAATACACAAGGAAATACTGATTGTAACGTTAATACACAAGGAAATAATGATTGTAACGTTAGTACACAAGGACAGAATAAGTGAAACGTTAATACACAAAGACAGAATAATTGTAATTTTAATACACAAGGACATAATAATAGTAACGTTTATACACAAGGACATAATAATTGTAACGTTAATACACAAGGACATAATGATTGTAACGTTAATACACAAGGACAGAATAATTGTAACGTTAATACACAAAGACAGAATAATTGTAACTGTAATACACAAAGACAGAATAATTGTAACTTTAATACACAAAGACAGAAGAATTGTAACGTTAATACACAAGGACATAATAATTGTAACGTTAATACACAAAGACAGAATAATTGTAACTTTAATACACAAAGATAGAATAATTGTAATTTTAATACACAAGGACAGAATATTTGTAACGTTAATACACAAGGAAATAATGATTGTAACGTTAATACACAAGGACATAATGATTGTAACGTTAATACACCAGGACAGAATAATTGTAACTTTAATACACAAGGACAGAAGAATTGTAACTTTAATACACGAGGACATAATACTTGTAACGTTAATACACAAGGACAGAATATTCGTAACGTTAATACACGAGGACAGTAGAATTGTTACTTTAATTCACAAAGACAGAATAATTGTAATTTTAATACACAAGGACAGAATATTTGTAACGTTAATACACGAGGACAGTAGAATTGTTACTTTAATACACAAAGANTTGTAACGTTAATACACAAAGACAGAATACTTGTAACGTTAATACACAAAGACAGAATAATTGTAATTTTAATACACAAGGACAGAAGAATTGTAACTTTAATACACAAGGACAGAATAATTGTAACTTTAATACACGAGGACATAATACTTGTAACGTTAATACACAAGGACAGAATACTTGTAACGTTAATACACAAAGACAGAATACTTGTAACGTTAATACACAAAGACAGAATAATTGTAACGTTAATACACAAGGACAGAATACTTGTAACGTTAATACACAAAGACAGATTAATTGTAATTTTAATACACAAGGACAGAAGAATTCTAACTTTAATACACAAGGACAGAATAAGTGTAACCGTAATACACAAGGACAGAATATTTGTAACGTTAATAGACAAGGACAGAATACTTGTAACGTTAATACACAGACAGAATAATTGGAACTGTAATACACAAGGACAGAATATTTGTAACGTTAATACACAAGGACAGAATACTTGTAACGTTAATACACAGACAGAATAATTGTAACTGTAATACACAAGGACAGAATATTTGTAACGTTAATACACGAGGACAAACTAATTGTAACGTTAATACACAAAGACAGAATAATTGTAACGTTAATACACAAAGACAGAATAATTGTAATTTTAATACACAAGGACAGAATAAGCCAATCGCTTAAGTACAAGGACAGTAAATACCATATGGTAACAAAAGTCAAATGTACCTTCGCGTCAAAACACAAGGACGCTATCACATGCGAGCCATCTAAACAAAAGAGAAGACATCAACGACATCATTTTTAAGTGAGATTTGTGTTATACCTACTCTTCTACATCTCCGACCAAGGGTGAGATCTTGTGCTAGGTAGCCTTTTCCCCACCGTACAGAGTAGCCGACATAGGACCTACACCTACAAATATAGTACAAACATGTTAATTATAGGTCGCCATTCCTCTACCGTACAGAGTAGCCGACATAGGACCTACACCTACAAATATAGAACAAACATGTTAATTATAGGTAGCCATTCCCCCACCGTACAGAGTAGCCGACGTAGGACCTACAATGTCCACCTACAAATATAGAACAAACATGTTACTTATAGGTAGCCATTCCCCAAACGTACGGGGTAGCCGACATATAGGACATACACCTAAAAATATAGAACAAACATGTTAATTACAGGTAGCCATTCCCCCCCCGTACAGAGTAGCCGACATAGGTACTACACCTACAAATATAGAACAAACTTGTTAATTATAGGTAGCCATTCCCCCACCGTGCGGAGTAGCCGACATATAGGACATACTCCTACAAATATAGTACAAACATGTTTATTATAGGCAGCCATTCCCCCACCGTACGGAGTAGCCGACATAGGACATACACCAACAAATATAGAAGAAACATGTTAATTATAGGTAGCCATTCCCCAAACGTACGGAGTAGCCGACATATAGGACATACACCTACAAATATAGTACAAACATGTTAATTATAGGTAGCCATTCCCCCACCGTACAGAGTAGCCGACGTAGGACCTACAATGTACACCTACAAATATAGAACAAACATGTTAATTATAGGTAGCCATTCTCCCACCGTACGGAGTAGCCGACATAGGACCTACACCTACAAATATAGTACATATATAGCACACCATACGGTTTGTTATGATATCCCATAATGCTTTACGCGAACAGGAGTTCCTGTTGAATTTAGATGCTACTCTAGGCGAGCTTCTGGAATGAATTCTCCTAGTCCCAAACAATCTGTCAATGTGCTTCGCCAAAATGCAGATGCTTGTGGTTTTAGGAAATCATATTTTAAATCACTTTAAGTCAAACAGGTAAAAAACAACATATAAAAAAGAAAAAAGAAACATTTTAGAAATAACTTCAGAGAGAAAAATCGTTTCTGATTAAACGGCCTATTCTAAAGTAATACTTCACACATTTACAAACGGCTGCTAAAGAGAATATAGGTGTTAAGATAGACCCAGGTTCAAATTATTATGTTAACAATAGGATGCTCAGACATAACATTTTAAGTGTATTCCTATTATTTCGACAAGAATAGATTATAAAATAATAAATGCAAATAAGACCACAATGTCATTGTGATATTTGAATGGCTCAAGAACAAAAAGGCAAATGTTATGCATTTAAAAACAAAATGCTGACAGGTATCGCGCCAGTAACCTCGCAATAAGCGGCACTATGTTGAACCGCAGAGCTGTTTATTTTCTGAAGACAACAATAGATCATCTAGACCATATACAGTCCCTGACAACAGGGGCTGCTCTTTCCCTCCTGGGGACCTGCTATACTTCATAAAACAAAAAAACAACGCGTTTCTAGGTTATAGAACTTCAGTGTTATACTCATCTCATTAATACTAATTTTCTAGGGCAAATTAAAGGCTAACATGTGTACAAGTGTGTACATTAAGTAAAAAGATGAGATTTTATACCGTCATTTATTCTATTAAATAAATGACATGTTTCACTTTCAATCTTTGGTTTTCTGTTATTTTAAACCTTAATACAAACAGAGCACATCCTTATATGTTTTGATGCAGAGTTAAAGTCAATATTTTTTATCAGATCAGTCTCAATATGTCATGTCTTATAAATCACTAGTATTAAAATCATTAACATAACTTAAAGGACCTGGTGGAAATTTTGCTAATGTATTGTATAATGAGACAACCAGAAAGTGTGGCACATGTCAGACCTCTAGGATCTATGGTACTGTGCTAATGGTGTCCATTCTACAAGACAGCTTGACGATATAATCAATACTGCAATCATTTATATGACAATAAGCATCATGACATCATTTTACAAAAAATAGGATTAAGATGATGTAAGCCAGCATAGACACTTACTGCATTTGTATAAATTAATCATGATCAAAAATAGGAATATATCAATAAGCTTGCATACATTTGCTTTGTATTATCAATACTTAAGTGTCAATCATGAAGAACCTGAAAATGCAGATTGAGTGCAAATACTATTTCAGTGGAACATACGCACCAAGCGTGCACCAATCACTTCAAAGAGTGCTGGTAACCTTTGTTCAATAAATACTACCAAACACCTTAAAATATGTTAACAAAACTTGTCCTGCATTATCAGTGTAATAATCTAGGTCAACTTCATAACATCAGTGTAATAATCTAGGTCAACTTCATAACATCAGTGTAATAATCTAGGTCAACTTCATAACATCAGTGTAATAATCTAGGTCAACTTCATAACATCAGTGTAATAATCTAGGTCAACTTCATAACATCAGTGTAATAATCTAGGTCAACTTCATAACATCAGTGTAATAATCTAGGTCAACTTCATAACATCAGTGTAATAATCTAGGTCAACTTCATAACATCAGTGTAATAATCTAGGTCAACTTCATAACATCAGTGTAATAATCTAGGTCAACTTCATAACATAAGTGTAATAATCTAGGTCAACTTCAAAACATCAGTGTAATAATCTAGGTCAACTTCATAACACTCGACTGCTGATAATGTTTTTATTTTACATATACTAATTTAACTCTATCTTAATAGTGGTAAAAAACTTTACTGTACTTTTATCGATTTTCGCAAAGCGTTTGACACCGTGTGGAGAGCTGGGTTGTGGCAAAAATTGCATAATAGTCGTATCAAAGGAAAATGTTTTCAGATTGTTAAAAATATGTATATTAATATTAAATCATGTGTACAATAAAATGAAAATACGTCAGATTTCTTCCCGTGATTTATTGGGGTAAAAGGCAGGAGGAACATCTTTCACCGTTCCTTTTCTCTTTGTTCCTAAACGATTTAGAAACGTTTTTTAAGTCCCTTGTATGTGTTCCGCTAGAAATAGTGAAAGTAAAAATATCTGATGAACTGCATATTTTAATTGAATTTTTTGTCTTGCTATATGCAGACGATACACTTCTTTTCTCGGAAACTCCGGAAGGATTACAAAATGCATTGAATATTTTTCAGGAATATTGCAATATATTGAAATTGAAAGCAAATACTGATAAAACTAAAATTATGATATTTTGCAAGCGGAAAAGTAACCAAAATCATGTCTTCTTTTTCGGAGACGTAATACTTGAGATTGTTGATTGTTTCACATACTTAGGTATTATATTTAACTATAATGGAACTTTCGCTAAAGCGCGAAAAAAACTGATTGATCAAGCGCAAAAATCATTATTTGCACTTTACAAAAAAAAATCGGAATCATGCGCTTCCTATGGACATACAAATTCAGCTTTTTGATTCTGTTGTAGAGCCAATGTTACTATACGGCTCAGAAGTGTGGGGTTTTGAAACTTTGAAAACGCTAGAGCAGACGCACTTGAAATTCTGTAAGAGAATTTTAAAAATCAGATCTAACACTTCTACTTTTATGGTATATGGAGAAATCGGTCGGTTCCCAATGGAAATAAATATTAAACTTAGAATGGCACGTTTCTGGAATAATTTGATCGATACGCGTAATGAAAGTAAACTCAGCAGTATATTGGCACTTAATTTACACGACACTGAATCATATTCTTTTAAAAGGGTTAGTAAAGTTAAAAGTATTTTTGATGAATCTGGTTTTTCATACATTTTTGAAAATAAGATATGTATGAATAACATGTTCTTTAAAAATCACCTTAAACAAAGACTTCGAGATCAATTCATACAAAATTGGTTTCCGAAGTTCATAATTCGTCGAAGTGTGAATTCGGTTTTGAAAAATATTTGATAAAATTGTCAGAAAATAATAGACTACCTATTACCAAACTACGTACGTGTAATTTGAAATTTTCCATTGAAACTGGGAGGTGGCAGAATATTCCAAAAGTAGATAGGATATGTAACCTTTGCCTTGAAAATATTGGAAATGAATTTCATTATCTTTTTACTTGTAGTAATGTGGAAGTGAACGATTTACAAAGAAAATACGTTCCAAATCACTATCGTACAAATCCAAATGAAAGTAAAATGAAAGGTCTTTTGTCAATATGTCGCGAACAAATTCTGAAAGGATTATCAATTTTCCTAAAGAATATGATTCCTTTACTTTAAGCTAAAACATAAACATTATACATATACTATTACTTGTTGCTTCTATAGGTCCATAATATTGAAGCACATTATGGTTCTATGTCATTGATATGAACAAATCAATATGTTAAGTAGGTGACTATGTGAGTATTTTGGATACGGAAATGTATGCATATGTGCGTTTGTGTGTATATGTACCTGGGATGTAGTCATATGTTTGTGAATATATGTGTGTATGCGTATATACGTAGGCGTCTGTTTGTTGGTATGCATTGTATGTGTATGGTTGTGCATATATATGTATATGCAAAGGTCTGGATATATGCGTGGCTATCTACATATATGTATGCATTGCTGTGTCTAATTACGAAATAGTTCATTTGTACAACATGTTATCATGCATATATATATAGAAAAAATAAGATTAACGACCGACTAAAAAAACTAGCTGCTTTCACCCTTCACAGGGGTCTTCAGGTTTATTCAGAATAAACCTGAAGAGCCCTGTGAAGGGTGAAAGCAGCTAGTTTTTTAGTCGGTCGTTAATCTTATTTTTT